TATTAGGTGACAGACGATATTGGGTGACAGACGATATTAGGTGACAGACGATATTAGGTGACAGACAACATTAGGTGACAGACGATATTAGGTGACAAACAACATTAGGTGACAGACGATATTAGGTGACAGACCTGTGTATCGATTAAGCTACTACGTAACTGGTGGTTTACAGAAATCATCTGATTATGCGAGCTTACATTTTGTTGGTATTGAATGATATGCTCGAGCTTAATCTTCATTCTTTAAATAAGATATCAGTACTTTGAGACATGAAACATTTAGTACTGGCGTTGCTTATATCTCAATCTTACCTAGCCGAAAATCTGCTGTAATGTTATAAATAAATGACGCGCCATCTTGTTATAACACAAAAATGCAGCAGAGAATTCAATATTTCGTAGTAAATCTGATATAAATACTCCATTCGAATGCCAGTTAGATGGCGCTGAACACACTGAACAAAGTGGTAGGTCAACAAGGTCAACAAAAGAAACTTTTAAGTATTTAATTTATATTTTTCGTTCACTTGGACCTGTATGATTGAAAAACACTGACCGTATCAAATTCAGTGTTACTTAGTTATTCTGGCAGGTTTTGAAGGTTTTACTCTTGTTAGAACACAGACATTTTGTCATTGTTTGGTACAGCTCACCTTGTAAATTAAACTTATAGTTTTCCTATATCCAAGACATGCTGGAAAATAACCACACTAAATTAAAAATACATTACTGATATACATATTAAATCGGAGTATTATATGCAAGAATAGTCATTTCTGGAAAGAAATTTAAAATTTTTCTCTTGGGAACATTCCACTGGACTTCTCTAGCTCGACGAACAAAACGTGTACGAAACATTCGGTTGGTGAACACTTCTAGAGTACATAAAATATTGTTATAAGCTATGTTTTTAATATTTCAGTTTAGATGTTTGTTTGCTAGAGGGAGCTAATCATGAGGATAATATAGGAATTTCATTTAGTATTGTTTGTTTGTTTTTGAATTTCGCGCAAAGCTACACGAGGGCTATCTGCGCTAGCCGTCCCTAATTTAGCAGTGTAATACTAAAGGGAAGGCAGATAGTCATCACGACCAACCACCAACGCTTGGGCTACTCTTTTACCAACGAATAGTGGTGTTGATCATTACATTTTAACGCCCCCATGGCTGAAAGGGCGAGCATGTTTGGTGGGATGGGGATTCGAACCCGCGACCCGCAGATTGCGAGTCGAGCACACTAACCACCTGGCCATGCCGGGCCTTCGTTTAATAAGTATATAACGCAAATGGTATAAATTCCAGAATCAGCTCGTGAGTTATTCGTCTGTTCTTCAATAAGTTAGTAAATCAGAGTGTTTGTTAGTGATCAATTAGCAAGGAAATTCTGCAAGCGAGTTTGTTTGTGAGGGACCATTAGTATTTGAATTTATTTTATTTTAAAAACATCCTACTTAAATATCTATTTGTATAACATCATATCCAATATTTTAATTTAAAAACGCGCAATCTACGATTTGTGTTTACAAAAGCGCTTCACCTAAGATTATTTTTATTTTAAAAACGTTTTATCTACGATTTTTTTACTTGAATATGTGCCATTACAACCTACTATTTTTATTTGATAAACATATTACCCGCTTTTTTTTTCTTCTTAAAATCACTGACTGTCTATAAAGTTGTTACCTCTGTTTTCTGCTATCACGCTTTTCTCGACATTAACTCCTTCTCTGGGCTCAGTAAAGTTGAGTGCATTAAAGGCGTTCCATCGAACTTCTAATCCTATTAGAGTAGGAGGGTTCCCGATAATCTCTATAGCAGAGGTGGCGCCACCGTCGGAATTTCGTCCTGCATACTTTATGGTCACGTACTCCAGTGAGGAAGAAGAGTCCCATCGATCCATAGGTAAATTGTTTAATTTTCTCTGAGTTGCTTTGGCATTTTGAAAGAGAATGCCCCGCCAGTGATGGGAAGTATCATTTTGCAACATAGGGGCACAGCGGACTCCAATATCCAGGTGATAATCTACAAAACAATAGAAGTTACGTTACTCAACAAAAATAAGCAACTTTGAACTCTTTCTTCAATATCATGAGTTCAGAACAGGGTTACCAGACGTCTCAGTTTTTTTGTCCAAGTCACAAACAATAAAAGTATTAAAATGTTCCAGTTTCTCTGTACCGCAATGTGAGTTTAATATGTACGGTTTATCATGATTGACGACTCTTTTAAATTGTACTTGGAGAATCACGTGACAAAGACAGATCACAATATACAATGTTAAACTACTCTCTGCTCTCTTTTACATTTTCTTAACCTAATCAGTTAATGGGCAGCCGCAGGAATTGAGGTTTAGAAACCTGTCCAGCCGCGAAAAAAAGAAAATATTTTTGTTTTCAGTTGGTTAAAGACAACTTAAGCATATTTTTTATTTTATCTATTTATTGTTTGACTAGAAAAGCGATTAACAAATTTTGTTTGTCTCTGCTTTTAAAACACGGTTCAAGAAACATCATATTATTTAGTAAATGGTAAAAACGTGTGATATTGTAATTTAAACTGTTATAGAAATGTTATAGTGACACCTCCTATGGGAAAAATTGTCCCAGTTTTTCACTCTGAAAATCTGGTATTTCTGGTTCGGTAAGAAACACTACCCCCTTTCCGTGCTAACATACAAACTGCTTTCAAATGAACAATAATCATAAAGTTTCAATAACAGTTGAGTATTCCGCAGTCCCGTGCTGAACTCTTTTACACAAATCTCAAAATTCTTTCTTACTTCTTAAAATAAAAAGTTGATTTTTACTTACCACAAACTCCACTGCCCAGTTGTCGTTCATTCCAGTTTGGGCAGTCTGTGATTTCAGCCTCATCTCCAGTGCAGTTTGGAGTAGCGTACAGAAGCTGGCTGGAGTCGTTGTTAGGCCTACCAAACCAATGATACACATAACCTCGAGAGAAGCCTAGCTGAAAGCAGACGACATTCAAGTCCATATCTGTCCAGCTAGAAATAAAATTGATTTCGGAATTTCAGAAAATAATTATAGAAGATACAGCAAGAGAAAATGTTCACTTAACCTTATTGGAATGACATACTTGTTGATAGTTTAACCCTACTTGACCTTATTGGAATGACATACTAGTTGATAGTTTAACCCTACTTAACCTTGTTGGAATGACATGCTAGTTGATAGTCTAACCTTACTTGATCTTATTGGAATGACATACTAGTTTATAGTTTAACCCTACTTAGCCTTGTTGGAATGACATACTAGTTGATGATTTAATCCTACTTAACCTTATTGGATTGACATATTAGTTGATAGTTTAACCCTACGTAACCTTATTGGACTGACATACTAGTTGGTAGTTTAATTCTACTTAACCTTATTGGAATGACATACTAGTTGATAGTTTAACCCTACTTAACCTTACCAGGTTGACATACTAGTTCATAGTTTAACCCTACTTAACCTTAATGGAACGACAAACTAGTTGATAATTTAACCTTACTTGATCTTATTGGATTGACATACTAGTTGATAGTTTAACCATACTTAACCTTATTGGATTGACATATTAGTTTATAGTTCACCCCTACTTAACCTTGTTGGAATGACATGCTAGTTGCTAGTTTAACCCTACTTAACCTTATGGGATTGGCATACTAGTTGATAGTTTAACCCTACATAACCTTATTGGATTGGCATACTAGTTGATAGTTTAACCCTACATAACCTTATTGGATTGGCATACTAGTTGATAGTTTAACCCTACTTAACCTTATTGAAATGACATACTAGTTGGTAGTTTAACCCTATTTATCCTTACCATATTGACAAACTAGTTGATAGTTTAACCCTACTTAACCTTATTGGATTGACATACTAGTTGATAGTTTAACCTTACTTAACCTTATTGGAACGAGAAACTAGTTGATAGTTTAACCCTACTTAACTTTATTGAAATGGCATATTAGGTGATAGTTTAACCCTACTTAACCTTGTTGGAATGATATACTAGTTGATAGTATAACCCTACATAACCTTATTGGAATGACATATTAGTTGATAATTTAAGGAGATGTTGCACGCTAAGATACAGCACCAAACTTGAACTGGTCCCCACTATACTCTACTGGAGATGTTGCACGCTAAGATACAGCACCAAACTTGAACTGATCCCAACTATACTCTACTGGAGATATTGCATATTGATCGTGATAACATTCACTTTTCTGCCGGTAATTGTTACTGAACAATTTTATACGTACATTCGTCTGTAAAGAGCAAACATCTCTAGCTTTACTGATTCTAATGCTTGTGATCCATTACAACCTATTGGTTTCATTACTTAGTACCAGTTATCGAGTAGCAACAAGTAGGGTTAAACTAACAACTAGTATGTCAATCCAATAAGGTTAAGTAGGGAGTAGAGTATAGTTGGGATCAGTTCAAGTTTGGTGCTGTA